GGATCAGATGGATAAGCAATCTTTGCACTTCTACATTTTGTCTTGCATGCTAGAGCTGGTCATAGTTATTACTCTCGATGGCTTCCTGGGAGTAGCGACTATCAACTAAGCTTGTTTTATACTCTGAATCTGGTTTATTATTAGTCAGACACAAGCCTGAGATTCCTTTTCCAGTTCCTTTAAAAAGTGGCCATCATACTGAAAAATGTAATGAGATCGACAGAAAGTAAAGCTTGATATAAATTGATATTCAGGCCTCTACCTGTCTATTCAGCCATCCATAATCGGCCTTATGTCAATCTCCGGTCATATTCAGTAAAATTTGCGTTTCTTAAACCCCACACTATCAGTATCTTTATTTTAGTTCTCGAAGAAACAACTCTTTAACAATTAAAGATGCTAAGCTAACCCACTACATCACAATTTTATTATTCGTTAAGGAGCCAAAGAACAAGAGTGATTTTAAAGAATATGTAGAAAATCTGGGTTTCGAAGAATTCCTCAATTATATATTGTGACATGACTTTTCATTTCGAAGGAAAAGTTGATTGGAAAGAATTCACGATGTGGTCTCACCAGGAATCCTTGGCTCACTGTCCTGCGACCCTGATGAACTTGCGTTAAGCTTTTGTCTGTACTGTGACAGACATCATCATAGCAAGAATGCATACTTCATGAAATAGAACAAAAATATGCTAAACTAAAATACTAAGATGTACTTTATACCATCTTGGCTAGTAATCTATGTCGAAGAAACTTTCATCATAGGTAAAAAAAACTATTCATGACTACAATATCGTAAGGAAACATATTTTTCGTCTACAGATACTAGTTGCACTAGCTACTGGAGTCAGTAATGTTTGTGCTCTGGAATCAACACCCTCCCATCACGGCAACAAAATATTCAAGGCCAGAAACAGGATAATAATAACAGTTCTTCCACATCTGAGTTTTTTATCAGTGAACTGGTATTTGCTGATGATATTATTCTTATGTGGTATTCTACAAATCAAGTGGGAGCCAGCTCGAGAACTAGGACGATGGCCTTGAGACAGACAAGAGACAAAGCGGTCTAGCTTATTCTTTATCGAAAGGAAGTTATACATTGCTGGGGATTTGTTAGAAGCACTAGAGAAAGTCAATTAGGATATCTTGGATAGTGATATACTCGTATCCAGAAGGCAAGCTTAAACTGCCTGGTTATCAAGTAATAAAACTAACTTAGCCGACCTTATCTTATGCAGCGAAACATGTGCAATGAGAATATCCTAAGCAAGAACACCCGCGTAATTTTACCATACTAATCGGTTATAAATTCATATAAATCTCGAAGAATATGGACCTTGGTACGGATGCGCAAATATCGCTTGATTCAGCCATTTTAAAGTGAAAATGCCAATGAACAATTTTCTGTTCAACCGTTGTGGCATCACTCCTCACCCATATTTTTTGTTGTACCCTCTAGTACAGCATCTTTCTCTCAACTCATTGCACGATCGACTTCTTTCGTCTGAAATAGTATTAAATAACAATAACTCTTATTCTATTCACTGTCGAAAATCATAGAAAAATAAATTAGCATTCACTACTATATTCTCAGTAAAAAAAATTTAAAAAAATTATCATTTTGGCAGAATTAGATCTCAACATAAAAGATAAATCAATAAGTGTCAAAACAGGTCTTTAAAACGGAGGTGCAGAATGAAGAACTGAAGGATATGTCTTAAAAACCATTTTCGAATACAATCAGCACAACTATAAAGGTAGAGTGTGCAATCTCGTTAGTCCTGGGATCCTTTTTGCTCAGTGTGGTGAACTCGAATGGTCAAACTGGTCCAGAAGTTGCATTGGATCGGCTGCAGTCAAAAACGAGGAGCTGGCCGCTTGTAATGTTGAACGCCGTCCAGAATCTTCCTGACAGTCAGGAGATCCATTAGGGAAGGCTATTAATGGTTTTTTGCCTGGTGCCCGCATACGCCATTGAACAAGAGGTCGAGAGTCAACACCTTTGTATTTGGTCGAGGCAATGTATGATTGCTTCACCGTCAGGACCACTGCAGTCATCAGATTTCGGGCAGAGTGTATCAGAGAGGTTGCACTCTCCAGCTAAAATAGAGAAGTTTGTAAGACAATCAGTAAGTGGTTAAAAAAAGAGCGAAAAAAGTTGAATTTAAAATAGCTAAAGCTATTTGCAGGCATATCTTTTATTGTGTCTGAAAAAGCGGATGGAAGCTATTAGTAAATTGACCGCATCGGATACCAAAGAAGAGTTGCCTTGGACTTGTGATGGTTGGATTGTGCGGTAAAGACTTCGGCTCACCGTCCAGAGACCCAATGAATCCGTGCTGAGCTTTTCATTCGTCATGTGACGGACATCGCCAGAGCTAGAAACCATTATTTACGAACGATCACCAAAAACACAAAACCATGAGAGGTCTTTTTGGTGATTGTTCGTAAATAACAGTTACTGGCTTAGAATATGTCCGCCACATGACGGATGAAAGTTCAACACAAATTCATCGGGGTCGCAAAACGGTGAGCAGAGGTCTATTTCGCACAATCCAAATGTCACATCCTCGACGCAACCCGCCTTCGATATCCAATGAGGCCAATTTAAGAATCCTTTCCATCCGCCTTTTCAAACGAAATGAATGGTATGCCAGCATTAACCTGCCACAGGATTCTCCGAAACGGCTTTTTCTCATATAAGCAAAGATACTGGCTTACCAAAAGGATATAACATAGGATTGGGAAAAAAAGCTGGGGAAATTTTTGATGATACTAGAAGGAGAAACGTCTGCTATGGGAAAGTAGGGCATAGAAGAGTAAGATTAGATACCGCGGGTTAATAATAATAATAGGCTGGGGTTCAATACTAGAACATGCAAACCCATGGATAAAGGACGAAATTGATTCTCTACTGCTTTTCATTTGTTAGAAGTGGGAGGAATATTAGCGAGCCTGAATAAGAAAATCAGGTGATGGGAAAACAGGTTGGGCAGCACCTATGCTGTATTAGAATAAACAGTATTAAATAATAAACAATAAAGGATAAATGAAAAAATAACCATATTTTAGATCATAAAAAGAGCCTAAAGAGGAAAGCAATTTTTTTAGAGAATAGGCCTTATCGCTGAATAGTTTATATGAAAGAAATGAGATTAAAGCAAATGAAAAAATAATAGTTTTTGTCGATAAGTGTTCACAGAACAAATACAATATAAAATAAAAACAAACTAAGTAATTTATGATTGACCCCCGTGCTAATGAAGGCCATAGTAGAAAAAATCTAGGGAACTAAAACCAACTTCCAAAGACCAACCGATTACCTCTTGAAGTGGAAAATGTTATCTTCTAAAAAAAATAGGCCTAAATCCAGATACTACTATTTGCCTCATCAGTTCTGCCAACTTAAAAGTAAGCAAGAGAAATTCAATTGCCAAAGGAAACAGTTTTGGAACTAAAGGATGGTTTAAAACAAATAGAAATTATAGCAGTGAACTGTGTGAAAAGCATTGTTAAAAGTGAAAGTATCAACAAACGAAGGTAATAAAGATCTGATTACTGAATTTTAATGGCACGTTAAATGAGTAAAACTCCAGTCCTTATCCAGACTAAGACCATTTAAGTACGGATGCCCTTGGGGTATGTGGAATACGGACGTGCCTTAGTTCTAAGCTCTAAAACTAATCCTAGGTCAACGTGGATACGAAGAACACGATGTTGTAGGTCGCAGTTTTCTTGT